CCCCCCCCCTACCTACCGCACCCCAATTTCTCCGTGATTACGGTTTTAGTCTACCACCCAGCATCCACGACCTCTCTCTCACACGCACACACTCGGTCTTTCATCTCTCTCTGACTACTTGCCTGGCGTTGTCCAATCGTCCAATCAGGGATCAAGCGGAGGTGAAACGGCTGGAGCGAGCGAAGAGCAAGGCGGAGGCGGTGTCGAAGCGACACCTGGACGAGCTCGCCCTCATCCGCAGGCTCCAGAGGCAGAAGCTGGGCGTGGGGCGTAAGCAGAAGCTGACGGCACAAGAGCGAGAGACGAAGAGGCTTCTAGACAAGAAGGTAGGTCCTAGGCGTAAGTAGTTTCTGCCACTTTTGGTTAAAAATCCTGCTGCATGAACTTAGTCCTAGAGTTGGCCAACCGTAGGCCTAAATATCTGGTTAAAGTCATAATCATTGACAAAGCAGCAGGATTGTGGTCGGTTCTCGAGCTTGACGTAAGTGCAGCCCTCAGAGGTGTGCAAGCGGCGCATAGGATCCATCAACAGGCCAGAAAATAGGAAGGAATATCATTTTGTGTCGTAGGCTGGGTTTGCTTTTAGGCAGAGGTGTCATGAGGTTCGGTTTTCTTCGCTTTCAAACAGCAGTCAAGTCAATGCACAAGAACTCGTGTGCCTTTCGGCGCTACCAGTGCGGCGGCGTCGTGTCCACCTAGCTATGTACGTTACCTCCGAGCGTATTTTGGGTACGCCATGGGCGATGATGGTACATAACGGTAACGTTGGCTCACGTGCTAATACTATTGAGTTTGGCTCTGCCTTCGTGCGGGCGAAGCAGAGGAAGACAGGGCAGGCATGGCGAAACAGCTGGTTGCACCCGTCCGAAGTGTGTGGAACTCCATGCTACATCTCTCACAGCAGCCCCGAACGAGTTAGCAAACACCGCCTTCGCTCCACGTCCCCCGTGTTTCCCCCTGAAACCGCGGACCCCCCTCACACTTGCGATGCGATCCACACCACCGATCGGATTGGATTGGATTGGACCAGTTGAAAGAGCTGACGAGGGCAGAGGAAGCGGCGGAACGACTGTCGGCAGAATACGAGAAGAAGCTTCTGCTGCTGCAGCAGAAAGAGAGCCTGGAGCTCGTCAAGGTTTCCATTACTAGCCGCAGGCAAGAGCACGGGCAAGGGAGGGAGGGGATGGGTTCTCATGTAAACGCATGCCGTAGACGATGGACCATGTAAACCTCGTATCCGCACAATGCCGGGACGGAGCGATAGGCCGGTTTTTCGCCGGTCCAGGCTACGTTTCACAATAATGAAATAGAAAAGGGTCATCATCCTTCCGTTTGCTGTGCCATACCAGATATGCTAGGGACGAAAAAGGGGGGGAGGGGGGGGTATGGTTCTGGACAAATACAGCGTTGTGCAAGCAAGGCCGAGAGAAAGAGGAAGAGAGAGAGAACTAGCTTCCAACGACTTTTGCTCCTGCAGTGAAATCTTGTCGAACGTATGTTCGGGGTCCTTGTGCACCATCATTGACCCATGTGTGGTGGACGACTACTGCCAAGGACGTCTCCTCTTCCCCTTTGCCCTTGCACCGGCGTTGAGATTACTCCCTCCTCCGATGATCCCCCCAGCCCCTGTAGCCACCGAAACCCTCAACCCCGGTGCCAAACTTCCATCCCCGATCAACTCTTAAAACCTGCTGCAGGGATCAGCGCCAGCTCAGGGATCGCGACGCACGCACCCGCGCCCGAGTCCCAGCCTTCGCCTCCAGCCGCTCCGACAACCGGCTTTCGCCACGCCCCCCGGTGCCACGCTTTGGCGGTGGCACCAGCGCTAAGCAGCAGCCGGCCCCGCCGCCACCGCAGCAACAGCAGCAGCACCACGAGGCGGGTAAGGCAGGGGAGGCGTCCTCCGTGTCCCCCCCTTCTACGGAGAATGAGGAGATGACGTTGAGGGCGGCGCTGCCCGCGGAGGGAGGCCTCGACGAGGAGGAGATGGACACGCTGAGGGAGGTGGAGGAGCGCCTGGAGAGCAATAAGGTGGAGCTCGAATACAAAGACCGCAAGATTGACTCCATACAGCAGGAGGTTAACGCCTGGGCGGAGAGGCGCCGCATGAGGCGCCGGGACCCAACGGCCAGCGGCGCCGCCGGCGCCGGCACCGGTAAGGACAGTGGTCAGGGCAAGGGCTCGGAGGTAGGAGAGGCGCAGATGATCGAGGAGCTGGAGAGCGGCGTGAGCGACCTCAAGGGGGCGAAGGGGATCATCAGGGTGCTGTTCAGCAGCCTCGTGGCGGCCAGGCGCGGCCTCAAGCAGAAGACGGGGGCCGTTAAGGGTTTCCAGGTAGGCTTGCAGTGAAGGTTAGCGATCAAGGACGGGTGCGCGCGACGCTCTGCGTATTTGTCGTTGTGGGTGATCTACACGGCGTACGTCGGAGGAGACGTGGGTTATTTTGTAGTGGTCCCCACCCCGTCAAGGACAGGCACGCTGCGGGAGTTGTGCCGATGGCCTTGGAGTTGGCCGTGGTGTTTTAAGAGGGCCTTTTCTTCTTCTTGTGGTGGTTTTGTGGTTCTGTGCAGGCGACATCCAACACCGATCCATGCCGGTTAGCTTGTTGGGCGATTTAAAATTTAAATGATGAGGCCGTTCAACACCGGACTACGCAAGAATTGTTTCCGCGGCAGGGATGTCGGGCATGCGGTTCGATGAGAAAGGAGCTCGCTCGCAACACAATAGATTTCATCGCCAAATACTCTGTTGGCGGCTTTGCTGCCGCTGGTGCCTCTGAAAATCTATGCTTGTAGCGTAGCGACCACAAATGCAACCCTAGACTCGAAACGCTTCTGTATGCGCATGACATGACAGGAGGAACTGGACAAGCAGAGGAGGGCCCTGGAGGACACGCAGGAGCTGCGGCAGACGGAGCTGAGGAGTTACGACCGCAAGCTAACCTCCCTCACGGCCGACTACGAGAGGAAAATCAACGGCCTGATCAACCACACCGGCATGAGCGGCCTTCTCCACGCCGCCATCGAGCGCACCGAGGGGGGTGACGGGGCCCCGGCGGCGGCAGGTACCCTACCAGGGGACGGAACCACGGGGCCCCCTGTGTCGGAGAGGCGGAGTTCCGGGCTGGAGTCTAGCGGCCGCCACGGTGTAGGGGTCGGGGATACGACGCAGGATGCAATGGCGAAGGTTTTGCACGAGAGGTGGCTGTCGGAGAGGAAGAAAGCAAGGTCGCTCGAGTCGAGGCTGAAGGAGTCCGAGGTTCGGATAGGCGACCTCGAGGAGGTGAGTCGGGAAGGGGAAGGGGCTCGTTTGCTGTGTATGGGTGCTGCAGCTTGATGCTATTATTGTGATTTGCTGCTCCGGCTATTTTGCTTCTGCTGTGTAGTAGTAGTGTGCTGCTACTCTGCTGCTGCTGCTGCTGCTGCTGCTGCTGCTGCTGCTGTTGTTGCTGTTGCTGGTGGTACTGCGACATGACCGATGGCATGATGCCCAAGTTTTTGTCTGATCTGTACCCGGCGCCTCCGTATGCCATATGCGGAGCCGACCCGAGATGCTTCCCATCGTCGACGTCGGTCGTGGTACATTGAGCCATGGAACTACTACTGCAGGTTCACCACATGAACGGTCTGTTGTTGATTCTTGTCCAAGTTCACACGGCGGAAACACGTCCGGTCTGGCCTTATTCATTTTCATGGCCCTAACAACATGATATCCCCCTTACTTTTCATGCCAGTACACAAACACGACACCGCAAATTTCTCGCCCTTGCCTTTTTTTTTCCCCACGGCACGTACGACACGGCACACCAGGTGCGCAAGCACGAGCGCAAGGCCTTGGCCGACAAGGAGCAGGACGAGGAGTGGCTGTCTTACGAGCTCAGGGCCTATCGCGCCCGCTACAGCCAACTGAGAGACGAACGGGACCGCTTGAAGGTGAGCGCAGAAGGGAAGGAAATGCTGTGTTGCTGCTGTTACTCCGTCCATACACTAAAACGGCGGGCCCGCATAGCTCCGGCATCATGGGTCTGTGTATCTCGCTCCCACGAAGTAGGACCGAGTGTGCCCCCAAAGCATGAATGTGCATTTTTTCTATGTGTGTGCCCTGTCAGTTTGAAGCACCCTGTCTGTATGCGTACCCTTTATTCTACAACCCATCCGGTGAGCCCGGAAGGGAGGACTCTTACAACTTTTTCTCCTACAGCAGTACTAGAAAAGGGGGTCCGCACGTGGGCTGTGTAAGGTGGTGCTCCATCCCTGAGGGTAGACGAATTAGTTCGATTTAATTTGACCCCGTGGAAGTTGACGATATTATTATATGCCGCAAGCCTACCGCCGTCACGCCTCGAAATCCCGAACCAGGTGGAGTTAGACAGGGTCCGTCGGAGCGCTAGCGGCACCGGCGTATCATCGTCGGGGGGGCACGCAGCAGCCGCAGCAGCAACGGCAACGACAACAACAAGCTCTGGCTTGAACGCCAACAGCGGTAGCCATCACGCACGGCACCCTTCCCCCTCATCGGCGCAGTTCCTTCGCGGCCACTCCGGCTCAGGCCTAGCCGCCCCCCCGCCGCCGCCGGTGGCGGGGTCGTCGTCCCCCACACAGTCCGGACCGCCGTCCCCCCCTCCGAGACCAACCAGCGGGCGAGGAGTTCCAACGAGGGATTCGTACCACGGTCCCGGGTCCATTGGCGGCGGAAGCAGAGGGTCGAGTCCGTCGCGACGGCAGCACGAGGCGGCGGCGGCGGCGGCGGCGGCGGCGGCAACGGGAGGGGTAGGGTTGTCCCCTGACGCCTCCACGAGGACGTCGGTGGGGGAGCGGGCGCCCGGGGATCGGGGACAGCAGGCCGGCAGGATGTCCCCGAGTTCGGGCGGGGGGGGGGACAGGGAAGTCATGTCCCCGGATAATCCCGCCTCCGACGTCGGCAGCGAGTACGACGACGTGGACTCGGTGGACGAGCATGAGTCGGAGGGGGGCGGGGACGTGAACTTTGCCGGGGTGACGAGCGACCTTGAGGTGAGGGGGGGAGGGCGTTATCTTGCACAGCAGTGGTGGCTACGGTATAAGAGAGGATCGTGACAAGCCAGTATTTATCTGTTATATCCGTTTTTCTCTTAAACCGTACTGTAAGATGTATGTGTTTCTCATGGTCGTGACAAGCCAGCTGGACTCTCTTACATCGGTACTTTCTCTTCAATAGTCTGGCTTAAACCGTAGCCGCCACTGTATGGACGACGGTGTGCGGTTGTCGGTGGAAGGGGATGGTTGATGCACGCATTTTCATTCCCACAGCTAAAAATATCTGTGCCCCTGTTGCAACAAAAGACTAAAGACGTCCTCCGTGAATCTGTTGATCCCGCAATCTCGCGATGTGCAATTCGATGCCCGCATCACCTACATGTGCCCCATCATGTGCGAACCTGCAACGGTGAAAATAACAGGCCATCCGCCAGGGAAGGATGCCCGAGTCGATGCAGCTTGTGGCCCGCGTTAACGCCGAAGCGGGTGGCAAGGTGTCCGTGTTCGACCGTCTAGCCTCAACCACAACGGAGAGTCGCAGGCAAAAGGTCAACGACCGGGATCAGCTGCACGAGAATCTACGGTAAGTGAGAGAGACGACAAGCACTGTTATTGCCGCAGGCAGTTCTTGGTCAAGTTCGGGCTGCAAAGTCGATTGTGGGGAAGTATTTGCGAGAGAAAATATGCACCGAAAAAGAAGTTGGTAAGTAGCAGGAAATGTTATGCCACAAGCAGCTTGCGGTAGGTCGGGCTGAATGTCAATTGAAAGTGTCATCTGTTTCATATGTGGAGGTAAGGATGAATGGAGGTACAGCAGCTACGCCAGAGCACGTTGCGTGATATAATGACATGCTTTTATCTGAGTTTTTTGTTGCCGCAGACTGCAGTGCAGGCTGGAATGTCGCCTGATTGTCTTCTCTGTAGCACATGAAAAGGCGTACGCACATGAAAAGGCGTACGGATACAACGAGGTGAAGCGAAAGGGGTCCGGATAAGAAGAGGTACATACCGAAAGGAGATCAGCAGTAAAGGACGGAGAATTAACAGATGTTGTTTAGGTTGCACCGTGTAACGCTGTGGCGAAGGAAGACCCCATATATAAAAAATGCCTGTTTCTCCTTGGCACGGTGCCCTGGTTGTCTCTGTACAGCAATACCCCTGGCTTCAAAACCTCACCACGCTAAACCTACAACGACACGAACACATAAACTGCACTTGTTCTGTGGACCTTTTCCCTTCCCACGACACGCTAGACACGCTACCAGAACCTGGTACAAACCAACCCCGGACGGTAAAAGAAACCACTCGGCCGCCCCCATCCCGGTTTGATATTTCGGCCGTTTTTCTTGTTTTTTTGTTGTCGTTTTTTTTGTGTGTGCGTGTTTCTTCTCCGTCGCTGCTGCAGGCGAAAGGCGAAGCAAGACGCTTTCCGCAAGAAGAAAGACTTCAAGGTTGTTCCCGGCCACCTGCCGGGGGCGAATGGGCTACCCACGGGCACCATGGGGGCCCCGGGAGGCGGAGGAAGCTCATCGGGACACGTGTCTGTCGCGGATGCGATCGCGTCTCTGGAGGGAGGCAAAAGCGCCACATATCCTGGTGCGTATGTTTGCGTCGCGCTCTTTTTTGTTTGTTGTCCGGTAGGGGTCGCGTGGCTGGGATTTATTGCATATGCCCTTCGGGATGCTCGGATGCTCAGGAGAAGGTTAGCAGAAGGGGTTGGGATGTCCAGGGACTTAAAGTTTGGACATGACCAACATATCTAACCTGGGCCATTTGCGTGGGTGAATGCTGCGTTTGTGCGGTCGTTGTGGTGAATGCTGCTGCTGCTGCTGCTGCTGCTGCTGCTGCTGCTGCTGCTGCTGCTGCTGGCCCCGTTTTTGTCGTCGTCTTGTGTGTCAATGGTGTAGTAGTTGTTAGTGACTATCCACGTCGCACGAAACTGTTCAAGCACAGCTCCTGCAGCCTATGTGTTGCGACACTCGAAGCGTGTATATTTCCACCTCACGCGCCGCCAATCACCTTTCCCACCAAACCTNGGGGGGGCAGGGGGGCAGCGGCGTAGGTTCTCATAGCAACAGCGGCGGTGGTGGGGGAAGCAGCAGCAGGGGCGGAATCGACGGCAGCAGTGGAAGTGCGGCGACAGGGCCGAAGGAGTTGTCCGTCTTCGAGCGGCTTCAGGTGCGCCGGTGGTCATTTCGTGTTCTTTAAGGCCAAGGGGAGGTCCGCGAGATCGCCAAGTTTTTTGGGGGTACATGTCGGGCACGGACTGCAGAGAGAGTGCTCCTTGTATACTTTTTTCTCAGTCTGTCGGTACTGTTCGAGTGTCGTATGTCTGAGCGAAAAGGCTCTTTCTTGTGAACACGGCGCTGGTGTTGTTTGCCCCTTGATCCGGACGGTCCGTATGTTCCCAACCAGTGTGGTGTGGTTCCGTTCAACACAGCGCCCCGTGCACACAAGTAGTCGGTTCCGTGCTACTTGAAGATATTGTACCAAGGAAGCTCACGGTCAATGAACGCTGGGGCAAACTCAGATCGAAGTGCGGTGTTGACAGCCGAGGCGTATGTCCAGCCAAACGGTGTCGTTTTTCAAACTCTTCTTGTCGTCTTGTTCCCCCCCCCCCCCTGCCCCCCCCTGCCCCCCCCTCTCGCCTTCTTGCCCCCGCAACCGCAAATTGTTCTGCCGCTTCTTCTCCTGTCCTGTGTCGACCATCTCGGTGGTTGGATGCGGACATGGCGGACGACTTGGGGGATACGTTGGGGGGTGGTGGGGCGTTTTTGTTGGGGGGGGGCGGGGATACGTTGTTGCGGGGGGCCGCCGGGGCGTTGCTTTTCACGCGGCACCGCCTATACCCACCTGCCCCCGCCAATTTTATTTTTTGTGCCACTGGTGGGCCTTGCGCCGCCTTGGGGGGCGGGCACCCGGCCGGCGTACCTACGTACCACGCGCTCCTGTGGTTCGTGTGGTCGTGGCCCGCGCGTCCAAAAACGGTCTGTCGGTCCCAGAACTCGTACATCCGACGGCGATCGTCGTCGTCCGGGGACCCCCATTCCTCCTCCCAGTCCCACTCCCACGGCCATGGCCATGCCTCTACGACCACTCCTCCTCGCTCCCGCACTACTTCTACAACACCGGCAACCACGCCGACGCCAACGCCGACGCCGACAGCGATGACACCGAGTTCTGGTTCTGTTTCTGTCGCCCCTCACCGTAAGACTGCGAAGAGTCCCTCTCCCGCCTTTTACTCGCCCGTTCGCCAGGTGGGCGGTGACTCGGCGGCGCGATGCGAACGGCTCTTGTTCTCATGTATTCGACGAAAGCGAAGTGCCAAAAAGAAGCGGTTCCGAACGACTCTTACAACGAATAGCCCTGTCGATTAAATATTTTGCCCTTGAGTCGACAGGCAAGGGGGGGTGTTCGACTTCTCACGTTCTTCGGCCGCTTCGTTTCTGTTTTGACGAGGGGGGTCCGTGGTGGTCGTGCGGGGAAGGGGGGGGAGGGAAACGTGTCGATTGAAGCTTGAAGTATGCCTCGCAAGTTTCGTCGGAACCGTTGTTGTCCATTATCTCCATCTCTCGACGGTGCGATGTCTTTTCTGTCTCGCAGAGATTTGTGGTTTCGCTATCGTAACTTGTGCCCCCTGCCTCATGTGTCTGAATGTTGTGTTTTTCTTCTCGCCGCTTCCTCCACCCCTGGCGGTTTTCAGGCTCCGGCTAACCACGCCAAGCTCAGCGGTGGCACGCACAAGAAGTACGTAAAAGTGGGTGGGCCAACGACGGTTGCGTCGAGGTTGTTCATGCAGCAGCACGCCGAGGTATGCTGTGCTGTGTGGTCGTCGTTGTCGCCTTAGTCGTCGTTGTTGTTGTCTTAGTCGTCGTTTTTGTTGTCTTAGTCGTCGTCGTTGTCGTCTTAGTCGTCGTCGTTGTTGTCTTAGTCATCGTCATTGTTGTCTTAGTCGTCATCGTTGTTGTCCTAGTCGTCGTTCTTGTTGTCTTAGTCGTCGTTTTTGTTGTCTTAGTCGTCGTCGTTGTCGTCTTCGTCGTCGTCGTTGGTTGTCTTAGTCGTCGTTTTTGTCGTCTTAGTCGTCGTCGTTGTTGTCTTAGTCATCGTCATTGTTGTCTTAGTCGTCATCGTTGTTGTCCTAGTCGTCGTTCTTGTTGTCTTAGTCGTCATCGTTGTCGTCTTAGTCGTCGTCGTTGTCGTCTTAGTCGTCGTCGTTGTTGAGGTGGTGGTCGTCGTTGCTGGCGTCGTCTTCTTCTAGCTATCATTGTTGCCGCTTTTTTGTGTTATTGCGACCGTTTTTGGTACATGTATAGTTGTCATTGTCGAAGTTGATCACTTTGCTCCGTGTCGCCTGCTGTTCCAACCGATAACGAACCAACGAACTTCCTTCCTGTCATGATGCGATGGCGTTTCTATCTGTTCATGGTTCGTTTTATTTCGCACCATCGAATTACCACATCGTCACGCCCTCCCACCAAGCTGGATACTCCTACGACAGGGCCCGACCTAACTTCATCTCAAGCCTAGAGAGGCGGGCCATTGTTGGCAGAAACCGCACTGCTGCTGCCCGTGGATAATAAGAATTCAGTTTCCTGTGCATATGCATCTCTCCATCTAAGAAAGCAAATCACCCGTTCATGATCGGTCCTGCCACCGACGCAGGCTGCTGCTGCCGCCGCCGCTGTCGAGACGTCGCGGGCATCCAGCAACAGTGGGTCCCCTCCCCGGGCGATGTCGGCTACTTCCGGTAGCCAGGCCGGATCGGACGAGAAGGATCGATCGGTCAACAGCGACGACGCCCTAGGCGTTGTGGACGAGGAGGGGCTGGGGTTGGGGGGCAGGAGAGACCGAGAAAAGAAGCAGTTCGGAACTAGGTAAGGTAATGATTGCTGTTGTTCGGTACAAACGTAGTTCCTGGGCCCAGCCGTAGGAACTACACTCGCAAGAAACCCCCGGATCGATGTTTTAAAAATATGGAACAGTAACATGCTGGGAACGCCTTTTTTTGTTTATGATAAATATGTAGCATGTTGCCGCAGACACCTCTTGCGAAAGGAAGGATGCTTGAAAAATGCCGACGCCCCCGTGCGCCTCGCTAGAGAGCAGTCACACCCAATCGACTACATACATTGCAAGGTATCTTGTGACCCCAACCCTCGCTCCCTGCCTCCTTCAACAACACCAGCATACACAGGGACAGCGGCGCCGCTGCGCACGCCACCGGGCAGCGCGGAAGCTACACCGGAGCAAGCGGCAGCGGCGGCGGCGGCGGCAACAATGCCGCTATCGGCGGTGCGGCGGGGGCCGGGGACAACTCGGTGTTCGACCGCCTTCCTTACAGTTACACCGAGTCGGAGCGGAAGCGGAGACAGCCGGAGGCGGCGCCAGCGCCACCGGCGATCCCGGCCTCCTCGAACCCTAGCACCGGCAGGCAGCCGTTTTCGATCCGACGGTCTTCCCAGGACAAGGAGGCGGTAGCAGTATCGGCTACTGCTGCTGCTGCTGCTGCTGCTGCTGGGGGACCGCAGAATCCTCTGCTTCCTTCTCGACGTAGCGTCGAGTTGGAGCCCGGCGGCGGGCGTTCCGACGAGAGGGGGGGTAGGTGACCGCCACCGCCGGGTTAAGGCTTCGGCCCGTCTCCTTGTTGATGTGGCAAGGATGGGGGGCTCGGGACGTAGCCCGAGGGGGGGGGTCGGATCGGAACAGACTTGCTTTCTGTTTCGAATGGAACACGAAGGTCCAGCTGTCACCGGGGTTTGCTGGTCTGTGCGTGGAAAGGGGGTGAGCTTGTTGCCGTGGTGGGGAGCACACAGCGAGCGAACCCATACACCCCGCCCTGCGGATGGAGGATGGGGTTGGAGCTGCGAGGAGAAACGGTGACGCTTGACTAGGCACGTCGTCGGTGCTTTTTGGCGGTAGGGTACCTCGGGGAGGGGGGGGGTCGTCCAAAGAGGATGCTTTTTTTTGCTTCAATCGTGTCGAGGGATCGGGTTGTTGCTTATCTTTCATGCTCGTCTTGGCGCTCAGTGACGGCCGGGTTGGTTGTACATTAAATACGTTGCGACGCGCGTGACCCATTCCTTCTGTGTGTAAGTAAATCTTCCCGGCTTGTCGGCCTTTTGTAACGTTAATGGTGGCCGTTGCTCCCGCATACGATCGTGAGATAAGAGAACATCTGCGGTTGTTGCCTTTCGCGGCCTGTTGAGTTTGAGACAAGAGTGAGGTGAAGTGCGTGATTTTTGAGCGATAGTGATTGTTTGTGTGCGGGTTTCCTTCGGGTATTGGTGCGTGTTTTTGTGTGGAGGGGGGGGTGATGTGCGTGCTACGGTGGAGTGCTTGGAGCACGTCCGAGAGTAGGTTCTTTGGCTGTTGACGGTAGGCGATGTCGCCGAGTAGGTAATCACGTAGAGGGAACATCTTGGGCGGACCAGAACATGATCGATACATGTAGGGCCAACGGCACGCTAGGTGGTGAGTTTGTGTGTATCTGTCCCTCTCTCAATAGTGGGAGTCTTCTCTCTGTGCTCCAATCTGATTGATTGGGCAGGGGTCGCTACAGCACGGCGTTCTCGCGGCTCTTGAGTCGCTCCTTGTTGCTGCGTCTTTCTTTTGGCGATTTTTCCTCTGGAGGGGGGGAGGGGGGGGGGGGGGGGGNCATGCATGCCGTAGTCGTTAGACCATTGACGTCGCATCCCTACAAAGCCGGGACGGAGCACGCCGGGTTGTCACCGGACCAGGCTCCCACATCACCGGAGGCGGGGGGTCATTTCACCATTTTTGAAAGGTCTCTGTTGACGTGTACCGACGTTAGCGCCGCGTGCGCGTGTCGGCGACATGGTAGACGTTGCTTCTACACGCAAAGGGCAGCAGCATTTTTTCATGCTTACGAACCGGCCGATCTCACCCCGTCCGTCGTCGCGCTCCCCCCCCCC